GTGTACAGAACCCCACACAAGTAGCTTCATCTGGAAACCGGTTCTCACTGCTGTGACACCAGCCAGAGCTGAGTTTTTCACATGCCATGGAACTTAGGTTGAAGAAATACTCTTCTCTGGACTCTTCACAACGTTTCTCGTTGACTTCCAAGCGGCATATTTTGGGAACTTCTAGGAAATGGAAGGCAAAAAAGGCAATGTTAGTCAAAAATTAGTCTTATTATAATTCTCAAAATTTAACTATTTTCAGAAACACTGAAATGGGGGGGGGGGCATTATATTTACTACCATGGCAGTAAACCCTCAAATACTTCCCAATAATCCAGTGATTTAGCTTTTTTCTAACAGAATGCATCCTGACCTGATTTAGCTCTCAAGTTCAAATGGAAAAACTCTCTCTTCCTTCAGGCTGTTCTCTAATTGTTTTTGCTTATGAACTGAACCAAATTTTATTCATATAAATACACATATTCCCCTGGTTCACTGCCTTTAAAAGCTAAGCCCTGAGTTCTGTTACACGTCTTAACTGTAATAATAAAAATAAAATAAAACAAAAAATAGTAGCATGGGAATATCCTTAAGTTAACTCAAGACATGTTTGGTTTTCAGGGCAAAAAAAAAGTAACTTTATAGTGATCTAAACCAGAGTTTAATAATAAAACCCACAGAACAGTATGTCAGGCTGATAGGCAATCCACACTAGGAAATGATGTTTATAAGAAAGAGTAAAAACCGTAACTTTTGAAGTAATAATAAATACAGAGAAACACTTTTGTTGCACCTACATTACACCCTTGCATATATTGGGCCCTATGGTATAGTAACAAATCCTGCCCTGTGTTGACGCAGACATCAGATTTTGATAGATGGCAGTCAGGCGAGAGGAAATATGCTCGTGAATGTAAAGTTGGGATTATTTTTGGGAAACTCCATACCACTGAGGCTTGCTTAGCACTTGAGAAAATCTCGGGCTAAACCTCACTTGTAGAAAGAAAATGAGACCTGGAAAATTAGCTGAATTACTATAAGGCGCTCCGTGCGAGGCGCGGCGCGTTAAGCTCCCGGGGTGCTTGCGAGCGGGCACTTACTCTCTATCCTCCAGCAAGCTTTATCACAGGCCTCCCAAGTTTCGAAATTGTTGGCGTTGCCCTCGCAGCCCCCATACATGAACTGGTGGCAGCTCTGCGTGTACCTGTCGTAGTAGTAACTGGGGATTAGGGCTCGACAGGGTCCCTCGTCCGGAGGCAGGAGGCAAATCTCCGCGTTACTGCCTACGAGAGGGCCAGAGGAGAGAGCAAAAGGGAGGGAAGGAGGTCAGACACTTTTCCTGGTAAGGAGAGCTCGGCCCCAGCCGCTTCGCAGAGAGAAAATGCAAACTTGGGAGGGAGTCCCCCTTTCGTTAGGCTCCGCCGGGCGCAGGGCAGGGGTCTGGAGAAAGGGGAGAAGGGCGCGGGCGCAGGAGGTGCATTGGCTCGCCGCGCGTTTCCGGCTCGGTCCGTAGGAAGTTGGCAGGAAAAGGGCTCCTCGACGGGGCGCCATACCTGCTGGTGCCCGGGCAGCACCCCGCAGTGCAGTCCCCAGGAGGAACAGCGGCACAATCAGCAGCCCCAGAGGGCCAGTGGGGTCCATGGCGCCGACGTCCGATGGCCTGTGGGGCAAAGGCGTTCAGAAGAGCAGGGCGGTAGGAGGGTGCGCAGCGTCCAGCCCAGAGGCAGCCTGGGTGACGGCGCGGTTAGTCCCGGCTTTTTGTGGGGTGAGCGTCCTTCCGATCTCCGACGGGGCGGAGCGAGCTGGTGCGGAGTCTGAAGTGAAAGGTTGATTCATGCTCTAAGGGCCCTGACCCCAACGCGCGGATGCTGGAAAGTGTGTGTGTGTGTGTGTGGGGGGGGTGCTGGTGGAGGAATTCCCCACCAAGTTGAACTTGCCTCCCAAATATTCTCCTGTGATGAGGCGAGGAGGTCCAGATGGTGTGTTTATGTCAGTGATGGGAAACCGGCATGCCAGAGGGAAATGACCTGGGGTGATTGCACAACCTTCCAATTTGCAGCATCACCTTCAAAGCTTGAGTTCACTCGAAAGCCTGCCATCGACGAATTTGAAGAACCAAGAGAAAGTATGAAATTCATGGGCCCATGACAATAGAGCCTTTACAGTAAATTAGAAATTTAAATATGTGAGATATATATATATATATCCCTTGCTTCAGTCAGCGTTCTCAAAGGAATACTTATTCCTCGCTTTCCTGAGAACAGCACTGGGAGTTTACAGGGTTTTTCCAAATTCTTCCAAGTCCTTAGAAGTGCAGGACACTCACTCACAGTCTGGTAATATTCCGGGATATTTTTTACACTATGCCCTTGTGGCAATTTTCAGTTACCCTGTTTTTGGTCACAGAATCATATTCTGAGGAAACTAGCCTGGTCTGGAAATACTCAGCACTATTTACTCCGTCAGTTTAGATGACTAGGTATCTATGGTTAAGAATGGCAGCCACTGATGTGAAGGTGAAGCTTCAAAACTAGCTCTCCAAAAGGACAGAGAAGAGCCCTGCTTTTTATTGCTTATTGATTTCTGTGGTATAAATACTCCCACTATGGCCAATTTCAGGGAACTCTGGTAGTGTATGCCTAAGCCATTTGACTGCTAACAGAAGGCTGGTGGTTCAAACCCACCAGCCACTCCTCAGAAGGAAGATTGTGCAATCTACTTCTGTAGAGCTAACACCTTGGAAACCCAAGGAGGGGTCGAATGAGTCGGATTTATTTGATTAGAGGGCAGTGAGTTTGCTTTGAGTTTATGACCAATTTCAAGTTACAACCTGGCATCACTGAATGCAGAATTGGAAATCTAGAGATAGGCCTCTAGAGCCAATACGAGCTGCTCCAGCACAACCGTGGAGCCAGCTAGCCAGTTTTGAAAAGCCACATTCATAGAAGAATCAGAAGAGAGTCTTCCCAGTACCTCCCAAAAAATATTATTATTTGTTGTTGTTGTTGTTTGCCATCAAGTCAGCCCCAACTCATAGTGACCCCTCCTTGGGTTTCCAAGTCAGTGTCACTCCGGAAGTAGGATTGCCCAAATATTATTAGGGGAGGGAAATTTTTACCATTTTCCAAGATCATATTCAGGAGAAAAGTCAAATTCAAACTTATCTATTCTTCTGAATATGATTAAATATATCTCTACATTGGACTAAAATAAAATTCAGAGACTCTTGATAAGTTAGAGTTGACGTTCAGCATTGACTATTGCTAAATCTGTTCTCAGTTATTGGTCATTTTTTGCTCATTCTTTACTTCATATATAAAGAGAAACCCTTTGAACCAGGGAAAATATTTTAGGAAAAAAACATGGGAAATAATAATGGGGAGACAGATTTGAGAGTCAGAGGAGACACGGGTTTTATTTCTTGTTCATTTGCACAAATTACCTAAAATCTCATCTGTAAAAGGGGGCCAATAACTATCTCACAAGTATGTTATGAGAATTCATTGGAAAGTGCCTACATAGTCAAAGATGTTTCGGTCCCCTCACACACAAGCACAGATCTATGCAAATCACCCTATATTCTGGGTTCCATTGTGGGCCTTGACATATTTTGACATGGAGCATTAACTGCAATCGGGAAGCTAAGTAACATGAACCTCTGACCTTACTTCCATCAGCTTTACTCTTTAGCTGAGCTCAGAGGCCATCCCTGCCTAGAAAAGGGTCACAGCAGTTAGACACCACTTCATGATGGCTTGTTCTGAAGGCATTGAGCTTCAAGTCTCCCAACCCAAGCAGAACAGGCAATCTACTCAGGCCTGCTGTCTAATGAATGGAGTGAGAATGGAAGAGGGCAGAAACAGGTTTCTCATCTTTCTGTAGGGTAGAGTCTGTACATACAGGCAGAAATCAGTGGTCAGTGAGGAATTCTGTAAACATTAGTTTCCTTTTTTTAATGCCAAATAGGGTGCATCTTTAAGGAATTCTGGTGGTGTTGTGGTTAAAGGATTTGCCTGCTAACCAAAAGGTCGGTGTTTGAACACACCAGCTGCTCGACAGAAGAAAGATAAGGCAGTCAGCTTCGTAAAGAAGTACATACTTGGAAACCAAATCAGGGTTGCTATGAGTTGGAATCAACGCTATGGCAGTGAGTTTGGTTTGGTTTGAGGATGCATCTTTAACGTCTTTATGACCACAGAGCAGAAATGGGGAAGAAGAGGTAAAGAGAATTGAGTCCGTTTGGTAGATGGAAGTTTGAGATGGTCATCAAGAAATCAGAAAGGAATTGATTGCCAAATACTTGAGTGTTTTACATCCATGAAAAAGATACCTTCCAGTATAATGTTGTTGTTAAGTGCTGACGAGTCGGCTCTGATTCATAGCCACCCTTTGTAGAACAGAACGAAAATGCTGCCCAGTCGTGCTCCGTCCTCACAATCCTTCCTATGCTCCAGCCCCTTGTTGCAACCACTATGTCAGTCTATCTTGTTGAAGGTCTTCCTCTTTTTCACTGACCCTCTACTTTACCAAGGATAATGTCCTTCTCCAGAGACTGATTCCTCCTGATAACATGTTCAGAGAACATGAGATGAAATCTCACCATGCTTTCTTCTAAGGAATATTCTTGCTGTATTTCCGAGACAGATTTGTTCACTCTTCTGTCAGACCGTAGTTTAGTCAATGTTCTTAACAACATCATAATCCAAATGCATCAAATCTTTTTTGGTCTTCCTTATTCATGGGCCAGCTTTTGCATGCACAGGAGGCAACTGAAAAATACCACTCTTCAGATGGAAGATTGGGCAATCTACTTCTGTAGATATACTGTCTCAGAAACCCAAACAGCAGTCGCTATGAGTTGAATCAACT